TGGCCTTGTTAAACCTCATGCAATTGACCTCAACCTTACAGCTGTCTAACAGGCTAGAGGGCTTAGGGGGGCATCCCAGCTCTCACAGGCATGTGCCTTAGCCCTGCTGAGCCCCTGACTACATTTCCACTTCTTACTAGTACTTGTTCCCCTTGTTATCCAGCTGGCTTTAGTTCTTGTGACTGGTGCATAGCAGAACCACAGACTGCCTGCCTATAGTGAGACTGCTTGCCATGGCATACCTTCAGAGAGCTGCTCAGCAGCAGTGACACAGTCCTTCCTTTGGAGGCTTTTAGGCCCATGTAGCTAAGAGCCTTGCCCTTCTCTGAATCCCAGCAGAAGAGAATTTGCCGCAAATCCATGATTCTTTCACACGACTTCCTCATTCTTTCCAAGCTAAAAGCAACCAAAAGGCAGAATCGGTTGCTTCATTTCAAGCGTTAGGATACGGATGCAGCAGGAGCTGTGCATAACCAAATAGTGCATTTCCATAGTTACAGGATGAATTCGGAAGGGTGCAGTATCTCTCTGAACAGAAGCCTGTGCAAATCACAGTAGTGCTCTAAAGACTAATCTGGCAGTTATCAAACGCCTGCAGATCCTGTTTTGGGCACAGAGCTTGAGAGCAGTTGTTGGCCCCTTGTGTAATAGGAATGGGATGAAACAGATGATTCTCATGAACTTGCTGCTCCATCACTAAATTTTCTTCATAAACTTTTTGCAAGCTTTCCTGAATGTTTCATGTAACTCCTCTCTGTGTTGGTTTTTCTTTCCAGATTTACTTAAAATATATTCTGGACTACCCCCTCGGTGACAAGCTGAAACCCAATTTGGATTTCATGCTCGCACAGCTGGAGTGAGTTTATATTCCCGCCATCTCTGTCAGAACAGAACCTTGTTGCTTAAATATGACTTCAGTGGTTACCTTGTGTGGCATGGGGCTGTCTGTGAGGAGCAGAGGGTCTGGCTGAAGTCTTGATTTTCCTACCTCTAAAACACTTCCCTTTGCCAGAAATGGACTGTTTGGTCAAGCAAGTACTTTTTCTTCTCCCTGTTTCACAGCTGGTTTTGTTGTTTGGTTTTTTTATCTCTTTGTAAGCAAAAGTTCTGCTGTTTGCTTAGTCGTTAACTAGCTCCACTGGTTGTGAACCAGGTGAACTGGAAAATCCAGAAAGAATAAGGGAAGGTACATTTACATGACTGCTGTCCCATGGCAATGGTCTCAACTGCAGTTGCAGGCACAGTTGAGACCAACTGCACCAATAGGAGCAGTGTGTCTGAAACCTCCTTCTGAGCATGACCCCTCCCTTGCTCCAGGTGACAGTAGTTTACCATGTTCCCCAGCACCATAGCACAGTGCAGCTGTGCTGACCCAAGCCGGCTGGAGCTGGTTTTTGCCTGCTTGTCTCCCTGTGCCCATTCTCTGAGAGATGGAGCTGCTGCTGCTTCTCTCCTCAGTATCAGGCCTGGTCTGGTAGCTGTTGTAGAAAGGTCCCTGTCAGTGTGTGTTTCTGGTTTTGGCCATTCCTGTAAATTGTTACCAATCTAGCGTACTAACCCAGCCCTAACCATTAATCGTTTCCTCACAGGTATGAGTATGAAACTGGAAGGGAATCTGCACTGGAGATGATTGCGTACCTCCTTGACATGTTCCCGCAGGTAATGAGCACCCCTTGGGGTTCCAAGCATCAAGCAGTTATTGCAGCTTGCAGTAACAGCATTTTCAGAGCACTTTATTTTGGAAGCGCTTGGTAGTTCCTATTATCTCTTATCATGAGCAGAACATTCGCTTATCTCCAAAGAACCTGGCTTTGCCCCAAAAGAGAAATGACATGCTGGAAAGTCTGCAGTACTTCTTTATCTAATGTGCTCAGTCTGCAATTAAAATAAAGCTTTGTCAGCTGGAGTTTTGGATAAACTTAATGGTGATTTATGCTAGGAAGAAACACACCAGTTTAGGAAATGGGTATGAATAGAAAGCGAAGTCTAGAGTTTTCTCGGTGTGAGGGGTTTTCAACATTCATGAGAGATACAGTTGACTGAACTGGTATGTGATGTACGATACCTGTTTTGTTGGCGAGGCTGGAGAGGGAGGGCTTCTCAGTGCGGTGGATCAACATGAAAGCTAAAAAATCACCGCGTACCTGTGCAGGATGACATGCGCAAAATGCTAAGCTGTCTTGAAGCTCCGCAGCTGGAGCTTGACTGAGCATTTAGGAGACAGAGAAGTGCAATCCAGCAAGAATGTAGGAGGAAGGAAGAGAAATTCTGCACAGTAAGCTGTGCTTCACCACCGCCTGATTAGATTTAGTATTTCAACTTGGATCCTGTCAACGCTGTAAAGTAGCAGAGAGCTGCTGGCTCTGAGAGAAGGACCCTTGGGCTGACTGCTGCAGTGCAAGCTGGCCATGACACCCACGTTGCTGTCCCAGGGACATGTTAGCGAGTCAGAGCAGGGCTGGGGCTGCTGTACATGCCCTGCATGCTCCAACAACTGGATCATCCCGTCCTTTCAGTTCACCTGCCTTGACGTGGACCACACTCAGGGCTGACGTTGTTCCCGTACGCAGTGCAACAAATACCCGTCTTTTCCCCTTCAAATGCCAGAAGCTCCTTGGGGATCTGCAGTTGACTAATGGTTGTTTCTTTCTAGGATCTCCTCCACAAATACTGCGGGCTGTTTTTTCTCTCTCTTTGTATGATGATGATAAACGATGACTCTGCCAAATGCAAAAAGATGGCGGCTTTGACGTGTAAATCTCTCCTCAGTAAGATAAACAATGAAAAACAAGATCTGATGTTTTCGCTGGTCACAGATTGGTTTCACAGCAAGAAGGTAATCTTTGGTCATTTCACTGACCAGGTCTGAACTCTCTCTGGGGGCTGAATAAGATTAAGGCAAGTGAGAGATTGCTAGTACCAGGTCTGGTGTATTGGTGGGTTCAGTTGTACCTCACCTAGTAGTTTTAGGAAAGGAGTATGGGTAAGACTCAGCTTAGAACAAAAGCTCTTTAAAGCTGTGCTCAGTGCCACAGCTTTTGCTAGCAAGAAAAGCAATAAATAGTATAGTTTCATAAAGCTGGCAGTTGGAAGGTGGCAAACCTAGTCTTACAGATCTCCCATTTTGATCTGGGTGCCTGGATGTTTCGTTATTCTCAAACTGGACTCAGGTTCTGTCCCTCTACGCTAGTGGAGTAAGTGTTCTTCAACACATTGTCCCTTTTCATCTCTTAGTATGTTCAGTTCTGCTTTGTAGCTGTGAGCCGTCTGACGCGTTGTGAAGAATCAAAGAGCGCAAAGTAGCCCCCAGGGCTTTGCAGCTGGGATCCAAGCCAGAAAGTGCCTTACAGCATTCGGTTTTAGGGTGTGTTTCCAGGGATAACCGGTGCTGCCAAGCACTTTTGTCCCTAGCTGGCAGCATCTCCTTTTTCAATAGCACTCTGAAAACCAGCTTCTCTTAAGATACTGTTGTTACAGGCAAAAGTAGGGGTTGCTACCAGCTCCTGCACGTGGGAGCTGCAGGATTTGATTGTCGGGAAGTAACAAGGGGTGGTGTTCTTTCTGTTGGCAGAGCTCACACAGGAGGTTGGCTGCCCAGGCATGCGGTTTGTTTGTTGAAGTGGAGGGAGTAATGTTTGAACGGCGGCTTGAAGCTGTCCTCACCTTGATTGAAAAAGAAATCAACCCAATAAGATTTGAAGACGTAAGTAATTTTTCCCATGTGTGAGGCTTGGGGAAAGAGAATTAAGGAGATGGAAAAAGGGAAGAAGCATAGGAGAGATTTAATGATTGGACCTGCTGTTTGGAACTGAGGGAAGACACGAAACACACACATTTGTTCTGAAGGGGACCTCGCTGACCTAGGCAAGGCCACTTGGGCTGAGCCTGCAGCCGTACTCTGTAGGCAGCAGATACATTGCTCCTTGCCCCAGCCTGTATCACGATCTCTGTGGGTGGAAGAGGTTCTTGACAGCCCTTGAGTCTCAGGCTTTTGGGTTTTACCTGTATGACTTGGTGGCTTGACAGCATGTAGCAGTACGTGTGCTGAGGTAGCTTTCCCTGCTTCTGGTCTTTCCTGCAATGGCAGGAGAGGAGGGACTTCTGGTTTTTGTTTGAAGTGGAATTATAAAAGCCACCATCAGAAAGAATGGCAGGGTGCACAGGTAGCACTGGGATGGGTTAGAATCGGTTTAGTTGGAAAATAGCCTGACGATCACACTGACAACATCCGTTTAACTGGGAAATGTGTCTGCTAGCTGCAGAGATTTGGGTAAGCATGGAAGGTCAGGAGTGCATCGCCTGTGACTGTCTGCTTTGTGCAGCGTTATCTGCAGCTTGTAACTTTCAAAGGAGTTCCCTTCCTGTTCTTCAGACCACGGCTTTGCTTTATGTTTAGTGCACGTGATTACCTCAGAGTAACAAGGCTGCCTCAGATGCTGCTTGGCATGTGGTAATCCCAAAGGGATCCCAGTCGCTGCGCCTGGGGAGTTGCCACGTGTGTTACTAATGTGCAAGGGCGACATGCTGAACAAGAGAGGAGAGCCTCAGGGTATGTAAAATGGCAAGAGATGAAAATAAAATACCTTCAGTGAGGAGAAATTCGGTGTAATCACCCCCTGTGCTGCGACATGTCGGTAAAGCACTGACTAGTAATACCAAGCCAGCTGGTGATTGCAGGCAGGGCGAGGACCTGAAGGTGATTTAGTAAAACACAGTGCCCACAGTGTTGTCATAACAACGTGGGGCTTCCCAGGTGACACAGGCAAATCTGAGCTAAGCTTGGCTCTACTAATGAGAATCAAACGTGCGGAAATGCATGTATAGACATCAATGATATACATTGTGTGTGTGACTGCTTGCATTTAGAAACCTAAGAGTTTGTTACAGTAACGGCTGTATAAAAACCAGGAACGATTGTAGTAAAAATCTGCAGAGGTTCAGTCTCCAGAGGAAATGCTTTAGTGGAACTGCTTCTCTTCTGTTTATTTTGGGATTCGGGTACAAGTCAGCCTTCTGTTTCTTCGCAGGGTTGATCTGAAATTTATCTAGTAGGGTAAATCAGGACTGTCTTTAGGTTCTCATATGCATCTTTCTTGACTTGCTGATTTTATTAGATAACTGAAGAGGAGGAGGAGAAGGCTGCAGACAGGCTGCTATTCAGCTTTCTTGTGCTGGTAACAAAGCTAATCACGGAGTGCAACTTGATTCAATTAACCAAGAATAGTGATGTCGTGAGCAACATCTGGGGTAAGTATCAAGAATTATTACGGCTGCGTTACAAGGAAGATTCTTTGTGTGGCGTGTGGTTTTTCACACCCTAATGTAAACAACTGAACTTTGTTGTACAAGGTTTGTGTGCTGCAAAATGCTAATACATGGCAGTCACTGGGCAATGAAAGAGAAGATGTTAATGGAAAAGGTTACGTAGTTGATGAAAACAAGATGCCCTCTGTCTCAGTTGCTGGGAAGTATTTGATCTATTATCCCAAGAGCAAGTAGTTGCAAACTATTGCATGTTTGAGCATAATTACATCCTCTTGGATGAAAACATTCAGTTCTTCTGGGAAGATGAGATTTTCTTGATGAGATCATACATACCAGCTAGCAAGTGATGACACATGGTAATAGTGCTGTAAATACCGTGTGTCTGCCGGGGTGTTAAGGCCTGGAGGTCATTTGATTCAAGCAGTATCCCTAGGAGTGAGATTGTACAATGTCAGGCTGTCTTATTGGTGTTTTGTTGCCTTGGTTTTAATTGCATTGTTTGCTGCTGTCAGAAGGCCTGGATCTGGCTGGTTAATGTTTTCAAAGAGTTCAGCCTGCCAGATGCCTTTAGTGAGGTAGGAGATAACCCTTATAAATCCTGGGTTGCTTGGTAACGTGCAGCTTGGATGGAAGTGAGACAAGAGGGCAACTCCATCTCTTCTCTGAAGCATCCTCAGCCCTCCATCCAGGGGTTTGATCTGACCATCTGCAGCAGGGCCAGCTCACCTGAGTCTCACAGCAGCCTGTCCCCAGACATCACAGGCAGATGAGCTGTGTTACTGAGTCCCTGAGGGAACAATAGTTGCTGCAGAAACATGACTTGTCAGCCAGGGTCGGAGCAAGTGTCTTTTTTGTGCTGTTCCCACTTTTCCTGCCCAGTTGCCATCACTTTCCTGCAATGTCTTTGGATGTTTGGAAGTGCTGCGGGTGCGTTCAAGAACGTCTGGTCCCCATGGGGACGTTTGGCTACCTGTAGCTTTTTGCTGCTCTCTGCTTTGGCTGGATAGAGTTGCTAGGAAGTCTTGAGCACAGTTCATTTCCTTCACCTTTTTATTGTAGCATGTGCTGTGGTAGTTCTTGGAAGGACCAGGTTCTTTTTCTGCTCTCACTGGACCAGTTCCTGTGCTGAGAGGTTTTCTTTCCCCCAGGTCATGTCCAGTCTCACCTGTGGTATCCTCACAGCTGGGTCTGGCTGACAGCTACTGAGATCTTTGGCCTATTGTTTGCATCTTACAAGCCAGAAGATCTTGTCAACAAGTGGAGGGAAAGAAAGGCAGGGAAGAGGAAAAAGACATCAGCAGAGCTGTCTGCATCCACAGTCTTCTTGACTGCTGAACTGGACAAAAAGGTAATGATGTCTATACTGCTGCTTCCCCCACAGCCCATGCCCATTCCCATTCCCTGGCTGGGACATAAAAATAGGGTTATAGTTTGGCACGCACATTTCTCTTTCAGTTGCTTGTCTGCTGCCTAATCCTGATCACTTGAAGCATTTGAGGAGGTGCCTCTGCTGCTGGGAGGGGGCTTATCTGGGGTCACATTCTCAGCAGCGCAAAGATTCCCCTCTAGGTTGCAAGGTGCAGGCAGAAGTTGTGCTGAGCCGATCCCTTGGCCTCCCCTGGGAACTGCCTTTGGTGACTGCCAAACGCGGCTTTGCGTTTCTGCTACTGGCTCCCTTCCACGGAGTAATTTCCTTCTCCTGTTTCTGCTCCCCAGATGAAGGAACTCGTGTTTGCATTCTGCCATCAGCTGCAGTCCAAGTTCCTGGACCTGTCTCTAGGAGAGCAGGTAAGAGCAGGTGAAGGCCTGGGGCTGCAGGAGGGCAAAGAGCAGGCCCGGGCCTGTGAGGGAGACAGCAGCGCTGCTGGCTGGTGGTGGCTCAGGGCAAATACACCGTGCAGGGCCAGCTGCTCTGTGCTGAGGGCATCTGAGCAGGCGCGTGGCTCAGAGGGGCCCAAAAATGTCCCCCCTTGCGGTGTCAGCCTGCTGGGACGCCTGAGGGGTGGCAGGGACAGAAAGGGGAGGCACCATGCAGGGCAGAACTGGTGTCCCTTCTGTCAGGGAGAGTCCAGCTCTGCAGCCCAGACTGGAGCGGGTTGAGCAACCACATCCTGAAGCAGGGATCCAGATCTCTGGTGCTGGTTCCCTGCAGCTGCGCTGGAGCCCTGGCTGTTCGCTGGGAACGTTTAGTCCAGCTCTGTGCTGTTGCTTGAAGGTCTGACTCCACTGCGAACCTGGTCAGAGATTTCCTTGTGGAGAGCCAGGGGGTGCCAGAGGTGGAGAAGACAAAAGGAGCAGCCCTGCCTCAGGAAGTGCTGGAGCCCAAAAGGCCCAGTGGCTCATGGGGAAAGTCTTTCCCAAACTGCAGGAGGATTATTGAGGTGGGCCTTCCTGTTCAGAGCAACATGCTCTGCTACATGGCTCACTTGGCAGTGGGTGAAGCCATTACAGCCTCCTGGGTTGGCAGGTTCCTCTTTCAGATCTAGCCTTGACTCTTACATGCCCTGGTGCTGACAATGAGGGAACCCACAGTGATTTGACTACTCTGTTTTCACACTTCAGGTTATAAAGAATTTGCTTTTTGTGGCCAAAGTTATTTACTTGCTAGCCCCTGCCTCAGAAGAAGGTAAAGAGGCTGAAGGAGAAGTCGGATGTGAAGTGGAAGAGCAGGAGGGCTCAGAAGATGAGGAAGAGAAAGACATTTCTGCTCAAGGAGAGGGAGAAAAAGAGGACACAGAAGAGAAAGGCCAGCCAGCCACATTGCTGTGGTTAATAAAGAAGCTCTCTCTCATGGCAAAGCGAGAAGCAGCATATTCCCCTAAGGTCCCTTTAAAGGTAAGAACAGGGTTAGCCCAATTGCTTTTGATGTAGTAGGCACTTCCACAGGAGAGTGTCCCTCTGGGTCTCGCTTCCAGGGCACCAGCTGCAGAGGGTGCTGGGAACCGGTGCTGAAGCAAGGATTAGTAGGTGCCAAAGAAATAACAAGCATTTGAGTTCAGCATTCTCGGGAAAGGCTTGTGCCAGTCTGCTTCTCCTTGCTGATGCTTCCAGCCCTCGTGTGGGGTGGTGGAAGGGTGGGAAGCCCAAAGGCACCAAGCTGAAGGGGACAGAGCGCTGCCTTTGATAGCCGAAGAGTGCAGGCAGGGGAATGGCAGCGTGGAGATACTTGCTAGGAGAAGGGAGGGTGTGGGAGAGCGTCGGGAAAAGCGCTGCGGTTCCCCATGGTGTATAGTTACAGAGGCTGAGCTTTCATGTCTTCAGCTGCCTGTGCACTGGACGGCGAGAACAAGGCTGTTGTTGGAAGTGTTAACAGCTGCCAGCCTGGTGCAGTCACAGCCCACACCTTTACACGTCCCTTGGGGTTGTGTCTCATCTAAAGGCTGCGCTTGGCTGCAGTAAGGCCTTGTAACAGCAGTGAGTTTCTGACTCGGGTGTCTGAAACGCCGCCTTTCACGTTGAACAGTGGTGCACAGCACTCCTGTAGCAGTTCGGTTAGGCAGTTTCCTTCCAGCCTTCCTTATTTCATGTCCCACACGCTCATTTTCAGAGAAGCTGCATCTTTAAGTTCCTGGGAGCAATCTCGGTGGATCTGGGGAGAGACAGGATCAGCCCCTACCTTCCAACAATTCTCACCCCCCTGTACAGGGAGCTGAACAGCACCTATGCAGAGCAAGGTAAGTGATTTCCCTCACGAAGACTAGTAAAGAGGAAAGTGTGTCAGAGCTCTGCCTCAGCACAAACACCGCCTGGCGTTCCTTTTGTCTGTTGAGGCATAGGTGCCATAATCAGGGAATTTCACCTACTTGCAGTCTAACCAAAGTATCAGGAAAGGAGGAGAGTGTATGACAGCTGAAACAAAAATCTGCGTGTTGGACAAAGACTGGAACACAGTTAGGCAGGCTCCTGCGTGCGAGTGGGTGAAGCTTGAGCATGTGGTGTAGTGGAGAAAGTGTAGTACTCAAAGGTAGAGTCACGGTGGCGAGCCTCACGGAGTCCTTGCTGAGGAGAGGAACAGAGCGTGGGTCTTGGGGAAGCCAAAACAAGGCTGTTGCCAAGTATCATTGTTTTTGAATTGCCGTGTTAGAGCTGCTGTGAGGCTCAGGGGCACGAAGACCCGTGCCCTAGGGTTAAAGTGTGTTGCAGTTTTAATGTACAACGGGGTGTGTTTTTATGGCAGCTTGTGTTACTGTAGAGCAAGGGACTGTACAAGTTGGCATCACCCGTTTGGTGGTGGTTGCTTGATGTTTTCCCCCCCCCTCCAGGTTCCCCCTTCTGAAATAGAGAAATTGACCTTTAGCGTGTGCCGTGCGTGCGCAGTGACTGAAGGAAGTGCCCTTCGCAGGCAGGTGTACGCCCGTGGGACTGCGCCCAGCGCTTCTCCTTCCTCCTGAACGAGTCCAGGTCACTCTGTCCTGAGAGACGCTGCCTGAGTCACACCACTTGCTTCTCCCTGGAGATCCGTGTTTGTTTAAGATCCTAAGTCATGCCTGGGGAGGGGGGGGCGGGGAAGACAAATCAACTTCTCATTTAACACCAGAGACTCTCGGCTTTAGAGCAAGACGCTGGTGTTGAGATAGTTCATGAAAATGTGTTAAGTCAGTTGAGCAAAATCCAATGTCAGGAAAAGAACAGACAGCAGCCAAAGAAGAAAGTTGTATTATTCTAAAGCTGTGGTTTGTATATGCCATGAAAATTCAGTGTGCAGCGCTGGGTCTCCACTTCTCCGAAAGGACACAAAAGCACTGAAAAAAACCTGGAGGAGGACAGTGTTCTAGGTGAGGAACAGCTGCCCTGGCTACTGTGGTTCTTTTAACTAAGGAAGTAAAAGAGACTTGGAAAAGAAATGGTAGAGATTGACAGTATTGTGAGTGGATAAAGATCAACTTTTTGCTTTCTCTGCCAGCACAAGAACCAGGGGCCTTCAAATGATTTTTCAGAATAACTGCAGAGATGGTTTTTCACATGATAGGGGGTGCAGACCCAGGGAACTTAACACTGAAGGACGTTGTGGAAGCAAGCAGCTTACACAAGCTCTCTGGAGCACTTGGAAGACTGAGGGAAATGTTTGCTCTCAGTTTTCCCTTAGCATCTCTTTGTAGCCTATTTCCCCCCCAATGATCTTCTTTTCAGTGATTATAGTGAATACATTGCATCACTAACTAGTGATCCTAACCCTTAAGCCAGCCCTTACTGTGCGTACCGGACAGAGACGCTGACTGACAAGGCTGGAATCGTCACTGACTTCCAAGAAATCATATTCCAAAAGAGCCCTGGTGGCTATACACAGCAAGTCACTTTTAACAACCTCTGGGATGCCATTATCCTGCTGAGAAAAAACTTCTGCTTCTCAGAAGTGCTGTTTTTTGCCTGTGTGAAGCACCACTTGTGGCCCCCTGGGAAAGCTGGTGAAGAACCAGCAGATTTCACAAGCACCTTTGCTCTGGTCTCTACAGTGTATTGGGCAAGATGAATCAGTAAAGAAAGGGGAATCCTTACTGGGCTTTTGGCTTTCATTCCATATGCTGAAAAGATTAAGCAAGTTAATTTTGTTTTATTAGATCCAACACTGAAGAACCTTTCCCAAGAAATCATAGAGCTGCTCAAGAAGTTAGTTGGACTGGAGGCTTTTTCGCTTGCCTTTTCTTCTGTGCAGAAACAGGCCAACCAGAAAAGAGTGATGAGGAAAAAGCAGAGGGCTTTGCAGGTAAGGGTCCGCTTTGTCTTCTGGGAAAAAGAAACGGGGCTTCTCTGATGGCTTGAGAGCTGACAGGGAAGGTGAGTTTGAGGAAGAACTTCTTCCTGAACTGGGACTGTTTCATTTCTGGAACTTCACAAGAAACTGTTTCAGAACAGGCTCTTAGGCAAGGCCTGGCTGGCAGGGATGCTGTCCCTTCCCACTTACCCAAAGTGCAGTGGTAAACCTGGGCGGAGCAGCCAGAACACCCTCGGTTTTGAGGAGCCTAAGAAAACCCCTGCGTTGTCTTACTAGTCCCCAGTTTCTTAGGAAGGACCTGGTGTTTACAGGGACAGTTGTTGGCTTTAACTAAACAAACAAATGTATTGTATTTCACTAGACTGTAGCAAACCCCGACATTGCTGCAAGGAGGAAGCTGAAGAGACATAAGAATAAAGCTGAAACCAGGAAAAGAAAAATAGAATTCCTGCGCCCTGGCTACAAGGCCAAGAGACCTCGAAGTCATTCACTGAAAGATTTAGCAATGGTGGAATGAAAAGGCTTTTCCTTCTTGGAGGACTAATTTATAAAAAGTAATTTCAAGCTAAAGTAATTACTGTTTAAAAAAAAAGTATATATATATTTTAATTGTATTTATTAGTATTTTTTCAGGTCCTCTTTTTCATCTAGGATCCTAAATAAAAGCTTTTTGGGTTTTTTTCCAAACGTGTATATTTACCACAGTATGTACAGTTGAATGGACAACCACCATGATCTTTTATATTAAATTTTACTTCATTTTTAAAAAACGAGTTATGTGATGGCTGCATTCATGCCTGTGAACATCCTAGCTCCTGGAGAGAAAAGAGCCTGCCTCCTGCCTTTCATTTGTCCGTCAGTGTCTGCAGCTATACTGAGCAACTTCACTGCCACTTCTGGCTACGCTGAGGGTACAGGAGTAACAGAAGGTGGAAGTTAAATTCAAATTACAGCCCTGGCACACCGGGGCGGGAGGCGGCTACTGAAGACATTTCAGAAAACCCATGCTGCGTTAGCAGCCCGAGGGACGCTATTCACCTCGGTGCTGTACTTCCCTATACTGTTGTTACCTGTTGTAAGATACCTGCTCCTTCCTTGGAACAGCACCCCTACACTGAAGGATTCTGAAGTACCACCCCAGCAGCTTAAGGAAACCTCTTTAAATGTTGAGCTACGTGGCTGCTACAACTGGCAGCAGCTGGACTTGTTTCTGTAAGCAAGCAACACACCTGTGAGTACAGTTGACAGTTCCAGATTTTATTAGTGTTTTACTTACACCGAGATAGTGGCCACTCAAAACCACTAAAGGAGGGAGGAGCGACAAAAAGCCTTTCCCAGCCCATGAGCCTTTCATACAAATTAACACAAGTAGGTCCTTTAAACAGAAAGAAATAGAATATGGAATACCGTAACGTACACAGACATTCACTTGGTTCAGTTTTACAATTCAAGAGAGGCATCCGCATTACAGGAGTCGAACTCAACTCTGTCCTTTTTACAAGTACTTCTGGCCTGAAAATGCTTGACTGCAGAAAGAGGGATGTTGGATACAGCTGACGCTCCTTCGCAGTGCTCAGCTCTCTATCACTGCCTGCTCTTCAAGGCCTCCACCAACCTGGGGAAAAGGTTAAGTCAGTCTACTGAAAAATCATTTAAATTATGTTGAAATACTTTCAGGAGAAAGCTAGGCTGTCTTCTACTGTGGACTCTTGCTTGTCTTTTATGTCCAACTGACTTTCCACAGATCCAGTCTTAAAAAAAGAAAAATTACACAGTAAAAGATATTTTTCTAGCGAAGCTAGCAGAATTAGGGTGTTACTCACCATTCCATTGCTTCATCAAGCCCCGTGCCTTTAGTTGCAGAGGTTTTGAATATCTGCCATTTTCGGTCCTTCAAAGCCGGCAAGCCAAGTGCATTTGCCATTTCCGTGGGAGTCATGGCCTGTTCCATGTCCTGCTTGTTCGCAAACACCACCAAAATGGCTTTCTTCAACTCTTCTTCCTAAAAGAAGGGGACTCATGCCAGTTGTTGCAGAGACTTTCACTGAACTTATTTAAGCAAAGCAAACCCACAGAATGAAAAGAAACTTCAGCAGCTCTCATAATGATTTTCAGTTTGCTGGTTTTTCTTCTTTAGAAAATTCTTCAGTGAAAGAACGGTATTTACCCTCAACTGCAGCACGATACCACACAGGAGCAATTTCAAAACCTGGCCAGTTTGTTATATTATGAAACAAGCTGGATTTAACCAGGCGT